GCTCTCACTCTGGTCGATGCGTGCGCGGGCGCGCTCTTCCGGGAGAAATGCCCATATAAGGAGTTCCACCCTTGTCTACGTCATGAAGAGCCACGATCGAAAAAAACTCTCCGAAACTTGTACAAACCCGGAAGTACGATTTTTGGCACAGAAATTCTCCTTCATATGTCCAAATTGTTTTTTGAAACTTTGTCCATACTTAGCATGAGAATCCAACTCTTTAACAGTGTAAACAACTCTGAATGCATGAAACAGCATTGTACCCCCCCCTTTAAAAAAAGAGTGGACTTAAAACCCCAGGGTGTCACGGGATGGGTCTTTCTGAGACCACCAATTAAGATATTTTAAAGCATGTCGTGTACTGGGACTCAAGCCTTATTAAAGTCGTACTCCTTCATTAGATGCTGTCTTTTCACATTTCACCTTTCAGATGCTCCAAACTCCCAGTAAATATTTATCAGAATAATATTTTACAGTCATTTACTGTACCGGGGGTTGTTTTCTGCATTGTATATAGGAGATAACGCTTCTGTGTTGTTTGTTTTCATGTGCTTTCTTGTTTTCTCTTGTGACTGGCAGTGCTTAAAACATCCTGCTGTTGTAAAGCGTTCTGTTATGAAGTGGAAAAGTGAAGATAACCCAAATCTTTTTGTAATTTAGCATTGCTCAACACCAATTTAAGTTAATGTGACTGTCTCAATGAGTCTATTATATCATCACTGCTTTGTTCGCACAATTAACTTTCCATGGGTTACGCTATCTACCATCTGATCTCTGCTGAAATTGCTTTGTGATATGAGGAAGTTATGTCAATCAATCGCAGATTCTTGAAAAATTATTTAGACAGGCTTTGAAAACGACAGTGTAGATAATGCTGGGTGTGACATTTGTTAAAGACACCATATTTTGAAGATGTTGATAGAATGATGCCCTTTTATGGCTTAGATTACTCTTTAAATAAGAGGTACCGATACAGGAACAGTCTCATAGGAAACTTTGCTTTGCTTTCACTGACAGAGCTATTAATGGAGGGATCAGAGTGAACGAAGGAGTTCATCACTTGTAGATTTACTCAGGACTCAAGTCATTAAAGTTTCCCTCCAGAGGCTCCAGCGAGCCTAGTTCAGTAATTTGAGGCAAATATGCATGAACAATCCATGTGATGATCTTGAACTGTATATGAAGTTCAACAAATCAGAGCTACAGTTTGTGTTGTATGACTGTGTTGAAGTTCAAGAGTATCAAAAACACCAACTTATGTGGGTCTTCGTGATTCTTGTTTTCACACCCATTCTCTTCCTCTTTTTTTGTATGTGGATGAAATGCATGGAGCATTCATTATTCAAATTCACAAGCAGGGTAGAATTTCTTGTGCATAATCTGTTCTCAGCTTTGTGCACTTCTTTTGTTTGTTCATTCAGGTGTAAAGATTATCATTTGTTCAAATAATAAATGTGATGCAGACATACCATTTTACAATTCACATATATTTAAATAAGAGGCAAATTTGTATTCACGTCTACTCCAATATATGTCTCTAAGGAAGTTTATGTTGAATGCATTTGATTTATTCCAGAGGATCTTCCTGGAAAGATTTCTGGAAACACTGTGACCTTTAGCATTTCCAAAACGAGGAGTCTCAATCGACTGTATTTAGTGTCATTCATTCTTTTGTAATTACATGAAAGGTTTCATATTGCTAAAATTCCCAAATTTGAACTTCTAATTTATGTAGATGACTCAGCCAGACCCTGATGAATTTTCTGATCTCTGATCATGCTCATTGTCTTCACATCTCAGGCTATTACTTATGATGACTATGAAGAGTATTCCTGTAGCTCAAATAGTTAGCCATACAAAGTTCATAGAATTCATTGGAATTCCAGGGAATGCATGAACATTTAAAATGTGTAACTTGAATGTAGTGTAAGTTGCTTTAGATAAAAGTGTCTGCCAAATACATAAATTCAAATGTGAAGAATAATCACAATGACAACTAAAAGATTTAGGACCATGACATCAAAACACTTCAAAGTCTTAGACCGGTCATTTCTACACTAAGTGATGAGAAAGAGAATAGAGAATGTATAGACTGAACTCAATTGCTGTTCTAAAACATAACTGCTCAGAAAGAGCCTGATTCAGTCATATATAGACAGTTTCCAGGCAAATAGATCAATATGTTCTAAGCAGCCTTATTCGGTGCAACTTACCTCATAAATGGATATACTATACAATATTTTGTGTATACGCTACAGTGCTACGCACACAGTTATTTGAGCCTATCAATTTACCAGACCACTTACTGTATACATTGTGGCCCAGTCAATAGAAACAGACTCATATTTCAAAATAGCTATTGTTTGAATCTAGAGTATAATGATGTGTAAGTGTTAGCATTTATTTGCTATTTGAGTATATTATTGTGTGTTTCTCTTGCATGCAAGGTTACTTTGGTGTCTCCGATGTTTAATGCAAAACATGCAAAATAATGAAGGAAATGGAATTCCTCTGTTTTTGTTTGTGACAATGAATGAGAATTTATAGGCTGTTCTTTCTTTCCCACAGGCAAACCAATAAAGGAGGTATTGAAAGGAGGGAGTAGTTACACCAGAGGACGGCTCAGGGGGAAAGAAGGATAGCAGTTAAAGAACAACATAAATACAACTGAGATCCAGAATCGCCCTCATGGCATGGGGGAATGACATGATCGCTGATCTGATTGGTGGGCGTGCTGTCAATCATCTGTCAATTGCATCGTGAGGGCGGGGTTTCACCTTGGCTGTGGAAGGAGTGGAGGACTGTTAATTCAACCAACTCTGCTAACCGCAGCTGGACCATGTCACGGCTCAAAGGAACCCCATGGATACGTCTCACCATGGTTCATCCACTGGCTACTCTACGCCTTTTTACCTGGATTGTGCTTGCGGATGCTTGGCTGGCCATTGCACGGGCCCAGCAGCACCCTATTGTCACAACAAACTACGGCAAGCTAAGAGGCTTGAAAACGGCTCTGCCCAATGAGATTCTAGGGCCTGTGGAACAGTATCTGGGGATTCCCTATGCCCTCCCGCCCACTGGGGAGAGAAGGTTTCAGCCCCCCGAGCCCCCCATGTCGTGGCCAGGGATTCGAAATGCCACACAGTTTGCTCCTGTTTGTCCTCAGTTTCTGGAAGATCGTTTTTTACTCAATGATATGTTACCCGTATGGTTCACCGCCAACTTGGATACCGTTGTAACCTACGTACAAGATCAAAGCGAAGACTGCCTGTACTTAAACATTTATGTTCCCACGGAGGATGGTATGTAATTTCCTTCTAAAAAAAATGTATAAAATATTTGATGTATATATTTAATGTTTTCTTCTCAATAGGTTTAATCATTGTTTGTTTGCTGATTTGGTTCATTTCAGTTTTTTTAGCAGCACAGTTTGCTTAGTTGGCATCATCACAACTTGATCTATGGAGATTTTCCAAGTTCAGCATTTTATTTATTTGTTTAGGTGAGATATCCCATCACATTTAGGTCACTGATAAAGCTCATGACTATCAACTCAAATTAAACTAGTAATTTTTTATGATTATTTCCATCTTAAAAAAGTCCAAAGGCTTAACTGGGTGCAAATGATAGTAACAATTTACAGATAGCTGTTTGTCTGTCCAATAGTCTTGAATTGCATTTGAATTGAATTGCACACTATCGTGTGCTAAATTTAGCTTGGACACTGGACTGAAAGATTAAGGAATAGAGATTCACTTGCAACTGAAAATCTCTCAAACAGTACAGCAGCCATGTCTGCATCTTCAAAGTATTGTTGTTATTATTGTGACATCATCATGATTAAACATTTTGCCTGGGATGCGATAAGTCAGCCATTTGGGGAGAAATAGGAAAGTTATGAGTCTTAGTATATAGTGCTTTGTTATAGTAGTATTTATTGCGATCTGAAACTTAAAATCTAGAATCTTTTTTTTTTTTTGTAGTAATGCAATGTTGCTGACCTGAAATCAAAGTTACTGTATTCCTCTGAAATTGCTGTACCAATGTGGAGTAAATGTCTAACATAATATGTCAGAATATTGTGACAGCCCACAGTTTTGCTTAAAAAAGTCCCTTGTGATGCTGAAATTCAATCATTTTTTGTGCCGTACTGGAGACGGTCATCCCCTGTTAGCTTTCAAAGGCTAACCGCCCATCATGCTTCGGCTCTCCAAATTGCCCTTTTTAAAATCCTGTGTAATATGGGACCATCCTGGCATTTTTGACTCAGAGAGGGACTTCCTCTTCAGCTGTGCCACTGTTGAAGCAGGATGACAGATATAAAAAAGCCCATTAATGCAAAGACCATATCAAACGAAAAAGCATGATGTTCAAGGCTAGAATGTCGCGACGGTAGTGACGTCATGGCTGTCGCCGGCCAAACAAGTTGGTGTTTTTTCAATGTAGGCTTCAGACACGGGTCACGACGAGGCGTTCCCCATAGCGACCCCTAGAGGACGCAGTTCGAAGTTCCACGAAAGGGAACCAGGATCACCACTTCCTGATCTTTAGAAAACAGGTTAGAGACACATAAATTATCTTTGTGTTTTAGTTGCCCGCTTCTTTTGTTAGCTAGATGCACAAAAGAGACTGCAGTCTGTTAGTGACAGAGTCAGCTTTATCTCTCAGCGCAGTTACGAGTGAAGGCTGTGGAGGTGGCATCCTGTTTTGTTGTGAATTAATCACAATGAATGCTTCAGCCTGAAGGAATGGTCTGGGTGAAGAAACAATGCAGGCTTCCTTCCACTCTTTAACTGGAAAAGCTAACCGATTTAATTTCTATTGGTCTATTCAAAAAAACCATTCAGAGAAACAGAAAGATGTTGAAAAGAAGCAGTCACGGCAAATCAGTTCTTGTTACCCTCATTGTCTATCTCAATGGGTGGACTTCTTTAACATAACATTTGAAATCCAGTCTTGTTTTAAAGCTAATTAAGATCTACTTATAGAGTGCAAATGGGGAACTGACACCTATGATCATGTACTGTAATTAATCCAACTCACTGCTCTTCCACAGTCAATAAGCCTATATATTTATATTAGTGGCCAGGACTAGTTGTCACACTTTTGTTTTTAATGAATACATTATTATTATTATTATTAGTATTATTATTATTAACTAATTTATTTATTTTTAATTGAGTTTATTTTATTTGTTTTTATTTATTATTTTTGCACAAACCCTTTGGGACAAAATTCCTCTGGGGAGGATTAAACGGTCTGTTTTAAGATTTTCAGCTAAATTTAAGGTGAAACAATTATGAAACAAAGCAATTATTATAGCAAAACAAATTGAGTAATTACATACAAAATGTTGAAACATTGTTTTGGACAACAAATAATAGTAATGAATAAACTGTATAAACTTTCATCATATGTATTGCCACAGTGATTTGGCAAAATGTGTCAACATATGCAAATACTCTTAATATATCAATATGTTTTAACTAAGTACATGCTTATTCAATATAACCACTTCAGCCAATTTTGGTGCACCAAATTTGAGTTTATGTCATTCTTATTCTATCTATCTATCTATCTATCTATCTATCCATCCATCCATCCATCCATCCATCCATCCAAAACAGGCCTTTTTACCTTTTTACCTCAGTGGCATAACAATTTGAGAAAAGGTTAAATATTAAATGAATTTAAGAATTTTCATAGGATTTATTAGACTTTGTATGTCCTTATTTGATGACAGTAGCACTCAAACTGACATGGACTTTACAAGTATGTGCAATATTTAATAATTAATTATCTAGCATCATATAATGGAAGCAACAAAATCTGACCTTTAGTACCAAGAAGTTCTCATAAATGTGCATATTTGATAAGTGACCTAGAAAATGGAATAGTCATATATATATATATCTTTTTTAATAAATCTGCAAAGATGTCAACAATTCTGTGTTTTTCTGTCAATATGGGGTGCTGTGTGTACATTAATGAGGAAAAAAAATTAACTTAAATGATTTTAGCAAATGGCTGCAATATAACAAAGAGTGAAAAATTTAAGGGGGTCTGAATACTTTCCGTACCCACTGTATATCTCAAAATACATCTCAGAAACTGCCGATCTCCAGGGATTGTCAGACACAACACTCTCTAGAGTTTGGGGGGGAAAAACATCAGATGAGCAGCAGTTGCTGGTGAAATTGCTTTGTTAATGAGAGGGTTTGGAGGAGAATGGCTAGAATGGTTCAAGCTGTCAGGAAGGTCGCAATAACTAAAATAACAATGTATTACAACAGTGCTACCCCCCCCCCCAAAAAAAAAAAAAA